GTAAGGTTATTAGTAAGTTATTACACTTGATTTTTTATGGAATGTTCATGACATCAACTTTTCTACAATAAACATACAGAAATTTTCACAAGTATTTCAATGGACAACATCAAGAAGCTTTGCATTTTTAGTATTTTTCCTTTCCCAGTTTGCTCACTTTCAAGTGTTATCTGAAATCTCTGAGGTAAGATTTTAATTTTCAAACTCTATTGAGTTTATTTCCCTCTAACAGTTATTACAGCAACCCCCAGAGCCTGGGTTATAAGAGCATGAAATTAACGTGGAAAACATCTGTGAGCCTCTACTCCCGCCCTGATCAGCCCTGGTATCAGACACACAATTTTAGTGCTGGCAGAATGTTTCTCTGCGTTATACACACGCTCCCTCTGCTGGCCTTACTTTAAATTAACATTTAGGCCTAATCACGAAGGCAGTATTTGACAGTACTATGAATATTCTGAAAAGTGATCTTCAGCAACTCATAATTTCCTCATGATGCTCTGGTGTCTTCATTTTTAAAAGTGATTACAATTACCTCTGTCTGGAAGGCAATTTTTTGGTCTCTAAATAAAAAATTATCCATAGACATGTTTAGTATAACTCGATCAGCAGCAGAGCAGATACATAATTAAAACAGAATGTACTCACATCTGAGAGGGAATATAATTTATCTGGCGACTGCTACTCTGCCAACCATTTCAGAGGCCCTAAAATTAAGGCATTGACACGTAACACCAAGTTCTGACCCTATTTTTGTACTCTGGTAAGTGTTCTTGTTGGCAAGTAGGTAACTGAAGTTTTCACAATCTTTAGAAAGAAGGAATGGTGTGATGCTTAATGTGAGTTATTGAACTTAATGACTTAATAATTAATAAATATATTGAGTATCTACCAGGGAAAATAACCGCATCAAAGTCAGCAGCTTTCAGTTCAGCCAAATCCTGAATGTTTCCTCTTGCCAATCTGGCACTTTCAACTAACACATTTCTCTTCTCTTCTGCTGGACTTCCTTTTAGGTGATTGACTACATCTCTTTGCTCAATATTGGGGGCAAATATCTTCACCTAGTAAAGAGATAAAACAATTTTATGAATGTAAACAGAACTCATACATATTAGTCACAATAAAGATCATTTAATGAAAACAGGCTTTGTCCCTGAAGTCTCTTATCCAACTTAAGTGTATTCCATGGCGTGGATCTATCACACTAAGTATCTAAAGTGACATATGATATATTAGGATGGGTAAACACAGCCATTCTCCCCATCCTATTCCTGTAACATTTTGACAGGAGTGCATTCTTACACCAACATTAAGCTTACTGATTTTGCCATGGCTTGCCTCTCCTCTGCAGATAACCCCAAGGACAAACAGAACACCACAATTTATACCAGCAGCCCGACTGAACCAGCAGCTGACTCTGAAGAAAGACTGCTCTTAACTATTATGGGATAAGAGTGCTAAAAAAGTTTGACAGTAAAAAAGCTAAAGATGCAAAGTTTACAAGCATTTCTAGTGCAGACATAAGAGTTACCAGCTGCCCTAAAACACTAGTAGCAGAAAAGAAAAGCAAAACATGAAAGAATCTATTTTGATTAGACACAAAAGGGGAATGCTGCATCAAAATAAAAAGTTTCATGAAATGTGTAGGGCAGGGGCTGTTTTCTGGTGTTTGTTTTGAAGCTTCCTTTGCAGACTGCTCAGAGATGACAAACCTGTGCTAAATATGAGTGTGCTGTTGTTACCATCAGACACCTGAGTGCAGCTACACGCAGATGGACAGTGACCACCTTCTGCCATCTGAAGCCACAGATAGGACCAAAGCACACCACTGTGTCGCGGCCTAGTTACCTTCTCTGGTAACTCCCAGTCCATCAAAAAGAGCCCAGAAACAGTGAGAAGCAAACAAGCAGGTGAACCCCAGCAAGAGCTGCAAAAGCAACTGGAATGAAGATCAAGGATTTAACCCATCCTCAGCTCCCCGCAGCCAGAGGAGCAGGGACAGGCCTCCAGCCACTCCTCGTTCCTGGGTTCAGAGAATCACAGAATTGTCAGGGTTAGAAGGGACCTCTGGAGATCACCTAGTTCAATGCCCCTGCCAAGGAGGGTTGGAGCAGGTTACACAGGAACATGTTCAGGTGCATTTTGAATGTCTCCACCACCTCCCCTGAGCAGCCTATTCCGTGCTCTGCCACCCTCAACATAAAGTTCCTCCTCATATGGTGGAACTTCTTGTGTTTTAGTTTATGACCACTGCTCCTTGTCCTGCAGCTGGGCACCACTGACAACAGTTGTCACTGTTGCAACAACATTGGATTTGTTACCTTGTGTGTAACAAGCCAATAATTACACACTCGACAGAAGCATTGATTATTTGTTTCAGAGCTATGTGAGCCTGGGTGCTCGGTGGTATTCCACAAACCAAGCACGCCCACTGGACTTTTCACCATTATTTATGCACGGAAATTCAGAGTTAGCAACTTTCCAAGTACAGCCCCACTATTATCACTGGTTAGTAACTGCCACACAAGTTACATAACCCCAGCTAATTTCTACATGTGCTCAAAAGAAGGGTCTTCACCTGGGCAGGGGTCTTTTTGACCTGTAGGTGTTAATTTTTAGTATTATACTGAACATATTTAAGATAGAGGATACCTGGACCTTGAGTATTTTGCCAAGTAAGCAATCTATACACAGACATACACCAAGGTCTTGATTTAATAAGTCCTTAAGGCTTATTAGTTCCGGGATGCCCTTGAGTAAGGGATGCTGACTGCTATCTGTTCTACTGATATACAATACCATCTTGATCCTTAAAGCTTTTTAGTTCCCGGATGTCCTTGACTAAGGGATTCCGGCTGCTGCTCGTTTCACTGATTAGGTGTCCTTTCGCCCTGCCTACCCTTGAAAGTATACAAAGGTCTTACATCAAGGAACTTCCTGACTTAAGATAATCATAACATAGCCCACACTTTGCAACAGCACCATCCTCTTGGCACCCGCCTTTGAGATATTTATATGCATACATGAGATCAGGAGATCAGCCTGCCTGCGTGTGCCCTCAGCTCCTGCCAGGGGAACAGGCACGTCTTTGCGCGGGGGAGGACGAATAAAAAAGGCGAGGAGACAACGTAAGGAGGGAGGTTATGGCTGAGCAGGAGTGGCAGTGTGCAGTGGTGGCATAAAGACCATCGCAACCCGGGGTGGGGGCTCCGATCCCACAAACAGCGGGAGCCACCGGGCGCGGGGGCGCGGCCAATGCGGGGGGCTCTCGGCGGCTCAGGGAAGCAAAGACACGAGTCAAACATAAAACCCGGGAGGAGCCCGGCCCACCGGGCTGTGCACACATTCACACACACACTCTCTCACCACACACCCCCTCCGCCCCACACACACACACACTCTCACGGCCCGCCCCCCTCGTACCTCGGCGCCGGCTCGGCTCAGGTGCACCAGCGCCGCCGACGCCTCGTGGATCTCGCTGCCATCGAAGACGCCGCAGCCGGCGAGCACCAGGGCCACCCGCTTGCCCATGGCAGCCGCCCCCGCGCTCCTCAGGCCCGGGAAGGGGCTGCTCCAGGCCGCGAATCCAGGCCTGGCGCCTCCGTCCCTCCTTCTCCTCCTGCCGCGCCTGCGCCGCTGGGATACGCCGCCGTCTCCATGTTCTGCGGCCGCACGGGCGGTGGAAAACAAATGAGGAAAGCTGGAAAACAAGGGAGGTGTGCCTTTAGGCAAAACAGGTTCCGGCGTGTGTTCGTCCTCATCTCTCTCCCGGCCTGCTCCCCGCAGCGGGGCAGTGCCCTGAAGGTGCTGCAGTGACCCTTACGGTGCTGTAAGACACCTGCATTCCTGTCGCTAGTCCCAAAGTTGCTCTGCTTTCAGCAGGACCTCGCAGAGGCTCGGGGATGTACGTGTGAGGTGTTTTTTGTTGGTTTGTTTGTTTCATTTTACGCATAGGGCTGTAACGGAGTAGTGAAAATTGGCCTCCAAATTGCTTTGGAAGCCAAAAATGTGGAGTTTGGGTAGAGGCCAGCAGTACTGGCCTCTTTTTGTTTCAGCGATACTCTTGGTTATCAGACCCGCGTACTTTTAGGCACCCTTAACCTCATACCGTGTTCTAAGGAGCTGCTTCATTTTAGTAGAAAAACCACAGGCTTTTAGAAAAACACCCTTTCTTCTTTCACCCACTCCCAGCTTAGTTGCTAAGGCATTGCTCAAGGGAACCAAAGGGAATGCATCCTGAGTCTCCTCATTAGGACTCTGCACACAAATGCCACACCAGAGATGAGCTGTACTGACTTTTAGCAAGATCTCTCAGCTCTCGGTCCTTTATTTTTCATGAGCTGCCTCTCTTATAATAGGAAGAAACCTGAGCTTCATAATGAAAACTTACACTTTTACTGGACCAGAAGGCTGAAATGCTGGATCTTGGAGAAAAAAAATGGGAGTGTCTTCCAATAATTTGGAGTATGGGTTTTTTGCAGAGGACACAAGAGTGCATAGGCTTGGAAGAAAAAAAAATACATATGAAGGCAAAGCCTTTTTTTGTAGCAAAACGCATTCAGTTGAATGCTGATTGATTGGGAGTCTGTGTGGGGTGACAGATGGGGAGATTCTGGAACAGGAAAAGGCCAAGATAGGGAAATTCCCTGCTGAAGGGCAGACCCCTAGGCAGTGTTTGCTCCAAGTGATTGTAGGGCTTCAGCTCAGTGTCCACCACAGCCCACACTCTGCCTCTTAGGATTGAGCAGGACTGCAGTGACTCCACTGGGAGTTTTCAGAGCTGCAGTCCCCTTGGAGTCCTCTTCATGTTTGAGAGCTAGAAGGAAGCTGCTGCCTGGAAGGAGTTTAAACTCATTGCATATTTGGAGATACGAGTGTAGTTCCAAGCTCTCCTGTGTTAGGGCCCAGGGTTAATGTTAGAGCTATGAAACTGAACGTGTTTAGAACTGGAATACCCTCCTTTTTTCTGTCCTGACTTACTGGATAGTCTTTCTGGATGGACCCTGGACCTGAATTGTCAGTAACCTCATCTCCCTTCTTGTTTCTGGCCCTGTCTCTTGTATGGACCTCAGATTCACATTATAGGTGGCCCTTTTTCCTGAATGGACTTGTTTGGCATGTGATATTCCCATCCTACTTCAGGTCCTCCATGTCACGTCTCTGTGCCAGCTCCATAGCTGCCCTGGCTCTCTTCCATGATCTAGCTCCAACCTGCTCATGTCACGTCCCTGCCCTGATTTTGTGACCTTGTGTGACCATGGCCCTCTGTGTCAGTCTTAGGTCCGTGTTTTCATCCCACCTCATGACATGTCCTTGCCCTGGCTCTGCATCACCCTGAAGTAGCCCTGTGATGACTCTTCTCTGGCCTGGGCCAACAAAAGCAAGTAGCAACAAAAGCATTTCACAGGGAGTGCACCTCTGAAGCCAGATATTTTCGAGGTGAGAGGACACACCTTGACGGAAGAAGAAGCTGTTGTCAAGGCCCCTCAGTGCACTAGTAGCCCCATAATTAATGCTCGCTAAGGTCAGCTGTGGCCCCCACCCACACACCCTCCGGCCACCAACCTGTGGGCTCTGTGTGAACTTAGGCCTGGAGATCCAGACATCACCTGGGCTATGCTGTAGCTGTGCATGTCCCTGTTGTCCTGACATACGGGCTGGTCTTCCTGCACAGCTGGTGAACTGGTGCTATGGGTAGCATCATCTTCAGTCCTGCTTCCTTGATCGACCTTGGATACAAGTAGTGTAGTCCTGGGCTTGGCTCTGCCCTGCTGTGTCTGGGACTGTTGCTAGATCCAACCACAACAACATGGTTGTTCCCATTCAGAAACTGAATAGCAGTGAGGTTCCATTAAGAGTCCAATCATCAGAAAAGTCCACAGTGATGAGGCAGGTCCAAGGTTAAGCTGGGGTGACAGATGCACGGGTTGGGCCTGCGTCAGTGGAGTACACAGCTGGGCACAGGCACAGCTGCAGTGCAGCTCAGGTGGGAGGCAAGAGCCTTGGCTTAAAATCAGGTCTCCAGGAAAGGAGCAGAAGCAGTTTCTGACTTTGCTCACAACAGTTTTTATCAGACCTTGAGCAGGCAGTGACACACCCTGAAGGGGAGAGAGAGCAGGTACTGTTCCCCTTCAGGCTTCAAGGGGTTAATTACGGCTTCGTCCTGGATCCCAACCCTTTTCTTACTGCTCAGGATTTGAGAAAGATGTTTCTTTAGTGGAAATCCTGCTCTAATGTGCCTTGGTTGCCTAACAACAGATTTTACCACTAGTTTAAGTTTGACTTGGAAAGCTCTTTGTATTTCACAGACTGCATCCAGATGACTCACCAATTCACTTATCCCTACCCTGCAGCAGATTCCAACGAGTTCCTCTCAGCTTAAAACTCATGATGAACTTCATCTGCATCCATACCTGAACCCTCATCCTATGTCTAAGGCTTCAGCAGAAATGCAGCTTGGAAAGAAATAATTTCCCTCACATACCCCCTAAGCTGGCTGACAAAGCAGGGGCTGCTCCACAATCCCAAAGCTCACTGAACTGCACATCTGTCCTGAGCACAGCCCTCATCCTCACTGTCAGGGTCAAGGAGGACCTGAGGGGAACTCTTAGCACTACCTTGTACAGTCACAAAGCCCAGCCATTCTCCCTTCCTGCAGGAAAATACATAGCTTTCTCCTGCCCCAACTCACAGTTCAGGTGGCATCCCAGGTTACATAGCAGAGTGTGGGTGTATAGGAGCCCTGTTTCTGGCTCCTGTTCTCAAGATTCATACCCCTCAAAGGTGGAGAGTGGACCTCAGATAGATGAACTCCTGTCTTTCAGAGTAGCTTCAGTATGACTTCAGGTAATGTTTGTATTTCTCAGTATGCATCCATCTGACTCAATAGCTAACATATGCCAGTGGGAGTATAAAAAACCCTCTGTGAGGAGTAGAGCTGCCAGATGTGTAGTTTTGTCTGCTGTGATCCATATATATATAACCATGACTTTCCTACCGAATGGCATATTGCCAGTGTACAGTCTGGCATATGTGTAGCTGTGGTGTAAGCACCATCCAGAGCAGCCAGCCCATTTTTGTGAGAGGCTTCAGGTTCAACAGCGTCTTTGCTGTGACTGTTACAGTGTGATGACTCATGTACCTGTTCAAAACTAAACTATCTCTTCAAACCCACAACTTTTGGCTGCAGCAGCTGGGCTTATTTTCCCCTTTCTCTCAGTACCGTCTATACTGTTGCTGCTAAGAGCAGAGACAGAGAAAGTACTGGTTTATAATGGGAAATCACCAAGAGTCTTCTTTGTTGGTTCAGGAAAATGTTCAGTTTTCACTAATCAAAAAAAAAAAATCTGGGAAATGAGAAAAATTTAGGAATCCTGTCAACTCCAGAAGATGATCTCTATAGGCAGTCTCAATCTTTCCTCAAAGCCTGCTATTAGACAAAGATGCAGATCAGCTCTGTGGGTTTATAATGGGGACTTAGACATGTTTCTGCGTAATAAACAAGATAGTTGCTGACTCAAATTGCTGACATGTGAGCATTTTAGCTCAAACATATTTATTCATAAATGTATTGGTCATTTATTTTCTCTATTAATACAGTTTACAACACAAGTTTGGTTGTATGAGAAGAAAAAAAACAGAATACCTTGCTGCAAAAGTTTCCCATGGGACGAAATTAAGTGAAATACAAAAATGCATTTAACATTTAAAAAAAAAAAAAAAAAAAACAAAAAACCAAAACAAACAAACAAACAAAAAAACAACCCCAAAATCCCAAGAGCTTTGCCATCTTAGTCAGTCAACCTAAGACCTTCAGCATCCACATCAGCAGAAACTTAATAGTCCACACTGCAAACTTACTTTGAGCCAGGACTAAGAACCTGTTCATACTGCATTTCTAGTTTTGCTAATGAGCAGTTATGGCAAATTCATGATGTCATTTCACTTCCTTACCTCCTGATTTCATAGAAGGGGTAAATTATCCTTCCTTTATTTCGTAAAGCACTTCAGAGTTACACATAAAAGTCTCTAAACCCAGGAATTACAGCTATATTCCAAACAAACACGTATCTTTTGAACAGATGAAAGAGCTGACATCTTGTACTACACTCAAGCTAGGAACATAGAGGACTGATTGTTCTTTAGTTTTGCTCAGTGAGCAGGGATATTCTACTGGCTCCTAATAGTCAACTGTCCACAGCACAGTTATTATTTACCCAGTGAATAGTACACACCAGTGCTTTCACTTTGCTGACTACCAAACTTTAACCTCCTGGACTCTGATGCAAGCATAGTCAGTTTTGAACTCCACAGAGCTGGAAAAAGCTGTGTTTTTTGCAGGGATGCTGCTGGCAAATCTGTCCTCACAGTTTCTCTTAGTTTGTCTGAAAGATAGTTCTCACCATTTTCATGAAAAGGAGAGAATAAATTGCTGCATAATCTCCAAAATGTAAGTTGTTACAACCTGAGTTAAGTGTTCTGAAATGGCTGATATGTATATGAACTTAGCTCGAAGCCCTGAAAGGCTTCAGTCAAGATTTCTTGGTAGCCTGAAGAGGCTTGGGCTTACAGGGTTTGTCACAGCAAAAGCCTCTCTGCCTTTTGGTGAGGCCTCACCTCATTGTTCAGGGACCAGACTCAGAGACCACTCCTGTCCATGGGTTCTGAGTGTGAGGATGGGCACTTGATGTCTTTTACAGATCACAGAATCAGCTGGGTTGGAAATGACCTCAAAGATCATTGAGTCCAACCTATAACCAAACAGCACCATGTAAACTAGACCATGGCACTCAGTGCCACATTTTCCTTAAATGCCTCCAGGGACGGTGACTCCTCCACCTCCCTGGGTAGTCCATTCCAATGTCTAATCACCCTTTCTGTGAAGAAATTCTTTCCTATGTCCTACCTAAACCTTCCCTGGGACAGCTTAAGATTGCGTCCTTTTGTCCTGTCACTAGTTCCCTGGGAGAAGAGGCCGACCCCCCCTGGCTACAACCCCCTTTTCTCCAGGCTAAATACCCCCAGCTCCCTCGGCCGCTTCTCCTCAGATTAGCGCTCCAGGCCCTTCACCAGTTTCAAAATATCTCCAAAGCATTGCGTGGAATTACAGGCAACAAATACTCCGGCTGAATAAAAAAGAACGCGTAGGTGCCTGGGTCTCCTGAAAACCGCAGTCGCGGTTCAGCCGGGTGGCGTTTTTAAGGGATGATTCGGCACACGGCCGGTCTCCTCTCGGGGAGCGACCCACGGATCGGCTCACCACCCTGCGGATAGGCCGTGCCCTCGGCGGGCACCGCCGGCTTCCCCGGGCCGGGGCCGGGGCCGGGGGCGGGCGCGGGGGCGGCCCTTCCCCTCCCCTCCCCGCCCTGCCCGGCCCGCCGCGGCACGGCCGCTTCCCCGCAGCTCCGGGCCCGGCTCCGCCATGGGCGCCGCGCGCCGCTCCCGGCTCCTGCCGCTGCTGCTGCCGCTGCTGCTGCCGCTCCTGGCGGCCTGGGGACCCCGTGTCTCGGCGGGGCTCCGCGCCCCGCGGCGGCGCTGGCCGGTGCCCTACAGGTGAGTGACGCGGGCAGGGCCCGCCGGCGCTGCGCTTGTTCTGCTGGCTGTTTATTAGGCTGAAAGGGCCGCGAAACCTTCCCCTTTGTAGTCGCGGGGCGTCGGTCATTCGTGCGGTGTTTGGTGTGTTCGGCTCGCTGAGTCCCACGCAAGGCCGAGGGCTGCGCTTCGCTCCCTCAGCCTCGAGAGGGATTGCTGCCCCGGGAATGGCTGCGCGCCCTTTAAACGCCTTTAATTCCCGCAGGAAAGTTGCGGCGAGGAAAACGGGGTACGCTTTGTTTTATTTTTAAAAAATTTAAGTCTGCGTCATGCTTCGTTCTGCCCGTGATGAATGAAATGGTGCGAAATCCCGTTCGCTGCTCCAAAGCTGCGTGAGCTCCAGGAGAAGTGCTGGTGGTGTTGGGGACAGCAGGAGAGCGCACGTTGTGGTGTTTGACTGGCAAAAACAGAGACAGCTCTGGTACGCTGAGGAAATGAGCCCCTTCGGGAGAAGAACTACGCTTACCATGTGTATTTTGTGCGGGTTTGTTGTATTAAAGGGAGGTTTTGTCAATGTTTAACTGCTGTCTAGTGCACATCTGAAATTTTCAAAGCCTGTTGCGTAATTCCTAGCAGTTAAATTTGCATCAGGTGATGCCTGAAGGAGCTGACCTTGCGGTCACGAGTTGTTCAGATTTTCGAGTAAGTTCTCGAGTTGCAAGGCTGGGTCTTGGGATGGTCAAAATTGGAGTATAGGCCTGTTGGTGTGAAGTGCTCAGAAATGTGGGATTTTAATGCTGCTTAACATGCTCATTACCTTCTTGTCACATGCAAGGTGCAGTTACGGAAATTGCATCCTACATTTTCAATCTAGAAGCAGGACTTAAATGTGTGGTTGGCATAAGTCTTTGTTTTCCTTGTGGTCTTTTCCCAGCCATACTCTTTAGGATTTTTTTTCCTCCCGCTCCCCTTCCCACCCAGACAAAACAAAGGCAGACATGCTGAACTTCCCAGCAAGCTTGGAGAAGAAGTCCACAGGGAAGAGCTGCACTGTCTCAGTGCTGCTGACCTTATTATGGCTCAGGAAGTCCCATGTCCTTGAGTCATCTCATGGCTGGGGTATTTATGCCATTCGGTAGCCCTGGGCAACTGAGTATGTTAGACTCTCAGGCAAACTTTACAAGATCTGGACAAGCTGTGTATGCCAATTTGTCTTATAACAGGCATATAGGAACCTTGTTTTAAATGAAATACAGTGAGTGACTCCGAAGGAAATTGGAAAAGGAAGACTTGTGAGAAAGGTTCTTTGCTGTTTGTTTATAGTATGATAATAAGCAGATTTGGTCTTTGTTTTTTGCGGTTTAATAAGAATGAAATGGAAACAGTGATCCTGACTAGGTTCTTAAACCTCTTTATCTAAATTAATGTAAAGCAATGAATTTTTTTCTGCTATTGGCAATATACTAAAAATATCTTCATCTGAAGACCTTTTACAATAGGAAGAGGAAGAACAAACTGGTCAATCCTTGTATAGACAAACTTGTTAGGAGAATGCTGCTGAGGGAGATCTCAAACTATGCTTTATCCAGCATCTATGTCTGTGTGATTTTGTATGTCACCCTTTGTAATCTGCATCATTATCAGTACTGTGAACAACATGACTTGCATCCTTGAGCCTTAAATCCTGAGGTCCTGTTTCTGCAGGTGTGCACTTCAGGAGACTTTCAAACTTGCGTACTCCAAGTGTTGCAGTGCCTGGATCACAGAATCAGTCTTTGGGGGTGGCTGGGCGTTTAACCTCTCCCACGTGGGCCCTTAGGAAGGCATGAGAATCCCTCCAGCTGCAAAGTGGTGCTTATCATTCTGTGTGCTTCTCTTGCTCAACACAGGCGCTTTGATTACCGTCCAAAAACCGATCCTTACTGCCAAGCTCGGTACACCTTCTGTCCCACTGGCTCTGCCATTCCAGTTATGAAAGAAGAGGATGTCATTGAAGTGTATCGATTACAGGCTCCAGTATGGGAATTCAAGTATGGAGACCTACTAGGACACTTGGTAAGGTGATAGTTTTTAACAAAGTTGTAGTGGTAGATTCAGCTGAATTCAACAGCAGTTGTCAAGAATGGGAGCTGTAAGGTTGGGTATATGACTATAGAAGAGTATTAGAGCACACACGCTAGGCTAGCTATAGGAAAGATACTCAAAGAGCACTAAGTTTCAAACAAACCTTACAGGATTTAGCTCAGCTAAAGAAAAAAGCACGAACAGCACTGTTGGTGGGTTTGAATATATAGCTGTATATTGAGAGTGTTTTGTATACACACACCATTATGTTTAGGGTATCTTTTCTGTGCTAGCACTGGATCAAGAAAATACTTCTATGTATCTTCTTATATCAGATGAAATAGTTCCTTAGTGTATTAAGTTTTCTATTGTTAAAAACTTGTATTTGCATGAACATTGATATCTATCAGGAGAGGACAGCCAGCTGGTCAGAATGATGGATCATGAGGAGCTGATTGCTTTTACAGTTCTTTCTCAAATGTAATGACCAGTATGGAATCAAAGTCTCCATTCATGGAGTCATGCAAATATGAAAGAATCTCAACTTTAGTAATACTTATATAATACTATAGCAGTAGCAAATTTAAACTTCAAAGCATGATTCCTAATAAATAAAGAAATTTTAGTGAACATGATATAGCAGCATCAAAACAAAGCACACCGAGTAAAAAATGGAAATAGATTCAAATCTTGTTGCTTCAATTCTTAATTAAGGTTGAATGTATGTTTTTAGAAAGAAATATTTACCTCATTCCTTTTGTGGCTTTCCTTATCAAGATCTGTTTTTGGTAACTTGGTTCTGCTACTCACTACTCTGATGCCCCCGTGAGGTTAAGGATCCAAAAGTCAGCCTGAGTTTGGATGATGAGATCCCACTGAGTACCTGCCTCTAAGTGACAGAATTTACAACAGATGGATAGATAACCTCTCAGACAGCATGATAAAAGTATGAGTGTGACTCAGCCTAGTGTGACTGAATCCAAGATGTTACAGGAACTCCTTCCCCTCCTATCACCCAGTTACAGAACAACTCCCAACATCTTACCTTCTGTACAGACCAAGCTGAAGTTATGATGATGGTAAAGTTTTGGTTTTTTAGTAGTTTGTTTTTTTTTTTTTTCTTTTCCCAGAAAATTATGCATGATGCTGTGGGTTTCAGGAGCTCTCTAACGGGCAAAAACTACACAATGGAGTGGTATGAGCTCTTCCAACTTGGGAACTGCACATTTCCACATCTGCGGCCTGGCATCGATGCACCGTTCTGGTGTAACCAGGGAGCTGCCTGCTTTTATGAAGGAATAGACGATGCACACTGGAAGGAAAATGGAACTTTAGTTCTCGTGACCACAATATCAGGTAGATTTCAGATGCTTTGAATAATGTTAATACAAAGTACAGAATCAGTCTTGTCTTTATGTAAAGCACTGTCTTTTAATTTATGTTCTGTAGGGTATTTGCAGTGTTAGTCACTGATGCTAATTTCAGATGCTCTCTTCAACGCAGAAAGTGGCATGAGGCTGCTGCCTTTTGAACAACACACTGAAGAGTTGTTAAATGAGAGTCATTTGGTGTTGCTGTACAAAAACGCTTGAGTCTCTTGAGTGTAAAAATAGCAAAAGAGCTTATACAGAGCCATTATGGACTCTTCACGTGGCTTCACCAAAACAAAAGCTTGTATTGTGAAGTGGCAGATGACTGCTGAGATAGAAAAACTTGAAAATATGTTCATTACTGAGCAAACAAATAAGGCATATTTAGAAACAGTCTCAAAGATAAAAAAATATTAATCTCTACTTCTGTCTTGCCCATTATCTGTCATAAAAACTGTGGAAATGTCCCCAGTAATAGGTCTCTGTCATACGTTGTGGAACAAACCTGTGACTTACACCTGTAAATACATGGGTGATCACCAGAATAGCTTCCTGGTATATACTGAACATTGCAATCCTAAAATGAAAAGGTCATTTAAATAAATCTGTTTGAGTGCTCTAGTAATAGAGTGAATGTCTTAGGAAAAAAGTTCACTGAGGACTTGGAGAGTTGTGTTTTTTGTGACCAAACCCACTTACTCTCTGAAGTTAGTGTAGTGTACAAGGCACAGTGGAGAGTCAGCTTACTGGTAGTGTGATGTGGTGCTTTATGTGTGCCTGCTTCCACTCTTAGCAGCTTTGCTGGCTGCAGTCTCCAGGTAGTCCGTCCAGTTTGTTAAGAAATTCTAGGCAGTTCTTTAAGCAGTGAAGTGGAGCTGCTTTCCTTTGAGTTTGCAGTTCATGAGTGAAGTCTTTGATGCCTGATACAGTTGGAATCTTTTGTGTGAATACCAAGTGAAATATTTTCATATGTTTGTAGAACTTGTAATGGTTCCTGCCTGAGTGGATTATTTGATGTCTAAGAAAGGTGAGGTTATGCTGGTTCCTTGTGGAGGCATTGTTACAGTCTTCCTTGCTTCTCTCACTTCTCATTTCCAAGAAACTTTTAGGGAGGTAGTATGTTGGAGGGCTTTGAATTGTCTGAATTTGACTAGGAATCTGAAAGTTACTGTGGAAGAGGGTGAATGGAGGCAAGCACAGATGGACAGCATCATAAGCTGAAGTTGCTTCCTTCAGAGAGCAAGCAAAAAGCATCCCATCTCATGGGATAGGGCTTTAATGTGTGAAATGGCTGGATCCTCTTAGCCTTTGTGAGATTCTATAGAACTGTTAGTCATCATTGTCAGACACCACAGTGAAGCCAGCTCATTTCCTTTTAAAGCCCATCAGAAAGGTTAATGTTACTTAGGAGTATGTTTCTTCCGTGGAAATAGGGCAGGAATATCCCAAGTCTCATTTTTGATTGTCTAGGTATCTTCCAACATACCATCACTGGAGCCATGCATTAACCTGTAATACTTGTGATTAATTTGCAGTGTTAAGGCCAGAACTTCATATTATGTCCATCTCGGTCTTGTTAGGAGAAACTAATCCTTTTCAGTAACACGCCTTACAGAACACGCAGTAGGAAGCTAATGGAGTAGGAATTAGAGAAGATAAGGGGAAACTTCAAACCCATCTACAGTGTATAAGTACCATTGTTGATACAGATTTAATGACTTGCTGTTTTATTAAATCAAGTCACAGGCAATTAAAAAATAAAGTACCTAATCCTTCCACTAAGCAGAGTGATTGTTACATTTACCATGAAGTCCAAAACTCTGAAGTGGGGAGTGAAGAGCAGTTAGAATGGGGTAGCCTGGGAGGCGAATGTCCAGAGCTTTAGTTACTCAGAGGTAGTAGCTACCAGAGAGACAAGCTGAGCTAGAGATGTCTTCTTCATTTCAGTTGTGAAATCACCATCCCCTAAATACTCCAAACTCATATTCTAATCTTTAAGTTTACTGGTCTTCACATCCCACTCGTCATTTGGCTCAATTCAGCTTGGCTGGCTCAGGAGCTGCTAAAACAGCAGGGTGTCTCAGTCTAAGGTTTCTTTTGTGAAGAGACATGAAAATGTCTGCCCTGAATTGCTGAATTTAGTTAAAACTTGAAGAAGTATAGAGATACCTGTTGCTTTGGTGAGCACTTTGTCAGCATTTCTTGTATATTATACTACCTACCCTGTTTGTCTGCACGGATAAAAGAAAATGAGAAGTGTCATGGTTCTCTGATGTTTGGATGTTCTGCCATAGTAGGAAGAAAAGGGCCAGAAGAAGGAATTAGTTTTAAATAACTTGCATGTAAGTGTAGTTTATTCAGTGGAGTATCACTTCTCCCTCTAACTTAAGCCCTGTGCCCATTTATGGTTAGGTAATGTTGTAGGCAAACTTTTGCAGGGGAGGGAGGTGAACCTTGAAATAGATGGAAAATACTCTGAGTTACCTTGTCTCTGCAATGCTTATTTTCATCTCTTACAGGAACCATGTTTAATAAAATGGCGGAATGGGTAAAATATGACAATGAGACGGGCATTTACTACGAGACCTGGACAGTTCGAGCGAGTCCTGACAAACAGTCAACAGTATGGTTTGACTCTTATGAGTGCTCGAAGTTTATACTGAGAACCTACCAGAAGCTGGCTGACTTAGGAGCTGTATTTAAGAAGATACAAACAAACTATACCAGCATAATTTTATTCAGTGGAGAACCTATTTATTTGGGAAATGAAACATCTATTTTTGGACCACTGGGAAACAAGACATTGGCAGCATCTATAAGAGACTTTTACAATCCATTTAAACCTCATCAGACAGTCAAAGAGTTTTTTGTGGATCTTTTAAGAATAATTGATCGTGTCATCTTGAATCATCAGTTTTACCTCTTCTACAACTTGGAATACTGGTTTTTACCTATGAAGTTTCCTTATCTCAAAATAATTTATGAAGAGGTCCCTTTACCTGTTGGAAGCAAAGAGTCCTTTGGTGTATAGCTGTTTGCTGAAGAACCAAACTTGCCCTTATGTCAGATTTGGAACATTACCATGATGGTGTTAAAGGGTCATATGTTTCACTGCTAACTGTAAAAGTCGTGTTGGGAAGGCTTTGCTAGACCACATGAAAGACTATGCATTTTTTTTGCTATTACCTGTATAACACATGAATGCTTCAGCATCTATGACTTGGTCAGCTTCTGTGTAACCATGGCCACCTGCTGAGGCTCCTCTGGCTGAGCTCGGCAGTGACAGAGGGGGAGTGGGGAGGCAGCAGCCTGCTCTGCTCTCAGGTGCTCTCCACATGCACGACCATGCCGTAGCAGGTAGCGCCTGACCACCTACACAGGTGGGACACAGCATTACAAGGACTAAATTGGCTCATCTGTGTCTTGGAACTAAAAAACCTGAGTGTCTTCATGTGTCCAGTTCCTTCAACACGTGCCTTAGATTGGTGGTTCTGTAGTTCTTTGGTTTGTAAACTGGGACCTATGAACTGTTCAGTGTTCAGCAGGGTGGGGAGGAGGGGCAGTGAATCTGCTAGAAGATGGCATGGGTGGTATCTTTTAACCACTGTAAACACAATACAGATGGCTCTTCCTCAGCTTTGTGTGTTCTGTAGCACAGATGAAAACCAAAGTGCAAGTGCCTCTTTTGATGCCGACATTGATGCATAACTGCAGCGTTCCAGCAGTCTCCTGCCTTAAAGCCCACTTGAAGCTTCAGTTACGTCAGTGTCATAGAACTCATGGGTTGTATTCCTTTCAGATTTCTTTAACAAACATAGAACCCGTAATATGAAAGAAGCCGCGACAGTTTGGGGGGGTGTAATGTTGGAGTTAAAAATCTGTGCTTTTTAGCTCTTGCTGGCAGTGATGCTTGCAGTAGTGGTGCTGTGCCAGCTGCACAACCCTTGAGTCCTGTTCCAGGTTTACCCTAGAGCAGCTTAGCGACTAGTTAGTTCCCTTTAAACCCAAGTGACCAAAGCCAAGGAAACACTGGCTTTCTGGAAACCACTGAGGTGCCTGCATACAAAAAATACACCTGCAGGAACATAATCATCTCCAAGTGTAGGCAGCTCACTCCGGTGTTTTTTTTTTAACAACTAGCTGCAGAATGAATGGCCCTCTTTAAGAGGTTATTGCTGTCTCATGGCCAAGCAGGAACACAGAAACCCAACTCTGCAGTTTCATTTGGCTTGAGCCGAGCCTGCTTCAGCCAAAGAGGGGTGTACACAGTGATTTGATTCAAATCATATGAATGGCAGAAAATTAATTAACTTTGTATTTAGAAAGTCACTAAAACTGATCAGTTGAATGGCACTATTGTGTAAGGGGATGAACATGAGAGGTAGTGTGAGAGTAAGGAGAGGATGAGAGTACCTCTGTTCATGGAAAAGCTGCTAATTACTTCCACTGTTAAGTGAAACTTCATCTTTTGCTTCAGATTGAAAGACTTTGCTCTTTTTAGTCACAAACCCTCATGGCTGAACTGAGCTTTGGATTTAAGATTATTGTCACGGTTTCACCCCAGGCATCAACCAAGCACCACACAGCACCACCAGGAAGGTAATCCAGGAGGAAAGTAAGTTAAAAAGGGTGCAGCAAACCTGTGTACTGAAGTTAGATTCTTGTTGATGACTCGTTTTTATGACTTTGAAACCCTCAATGTTGTTGAACGTACATTTGTCTTCCCCAGAAAAAGCCTCTACCTCAAAAACCAGTGTCCAAAGCTCTGAGGGGGGAAACTGAATCGCAGAACCAAGCCAGTAAAAGTCACGAAAGCTTCTCTAGCATTTGCTAAAAAGCAGGAGAACTTTTGTAGGCTGAAGTAGATGCTGTGGCAGGGTAGGTTATGCTCCCTCACAGCAGAGTAGTGGTCTCTGCTTAGCCTGACAGTGCTGTTCATTCACTGAAGAGAGAGACACTTCTGTGTCTCTATTCAGGACCTAAGGAACCTACACACCAAAGTCATTCTTTTCCCCTAACAGCTGGAGTATTTTGTGATGCATACAAGAGCCTTACTGAACTGCAAACACCAAATCCTGAAACACACAGCTAATGGTAGCTGAATCATGTAGCTTCTAACAGTCAAAAAACAGGTGTTTGTGAACCAGTAATGGAGAGCTCAGAGAACAGAACTGACTGGTCGCAGAGGTAAAAACCTCAAGGAATGTGGCAAAAAATAGTTTGACCACAGACATGAAAAATTATTACCTCTTTCACACAAACGTAAATTCATGGTTCTATCAGTAAAAGTGCATAACATCCTGTACTTCTCACTTTTCCTATTTCATCTGTACAAACTGCCTAATTTAGCATGTTTTACTCCTGCCCTACTACTCGGGTAGTAGGTAGCAGTGGTACTAGGAGTTGATTCAAGAGAAAGTTATATCCTAGCATGTATTCGTTGCAAGTAAATTTCTGGCAACAAAGATGAAGACAACAGGACACTTATTTGTCAAGGATACTGCATCCCTCGGTGGCAGAAGGAGCAAGCAGCAGCTCTTTGAGGTGAAATCTGGGTGCATTCAGCAACAGATCACACTGCCAGTCACTTGAGGATTCATTCTTCCACACAGCCATGTGTGTACTCCAAGTCTGTTTCACACTTTGAATTCCACCTTCAGTTTAAAGGTACCAATTATCAATGTAGGAGTTGCCCTTTATTTAGCATCCCTGAGTTCCTTCTGAGGTAAGTATTTATTCCTGCTGGGCACACAGTTGGAGAGAGAGCCTCTTCACTGGGGGTGGTTTGTGGAAGTTAATTGTTCAGACTGAATGCACAGCTGGGTGGGAATAAACTCCACCAGCAGAAACGGCAGTCCTGGAAGAGGTGCAGTTGCTGAACGATTATTGCACCAGAATTAGCTGAAGTTGTTGGGTGCAGTGCTCTTTTGTAGGCAGAATCCAGAATCCGTGAGTTGGCCTTCAGAATTAGATCCAGAGTAACACAGAGCTGATGAATAGGCTACTTCTGCAGTTTACACAAGCCCAGAATAGATCCATAAAGATTACACTTTTGTCATTTAAAAAGTGTTAGATGTCACAAACAGCTTCTGTGCACCTGATGATCTGTTGTCACTGAAAACCACCTGTTGACCTCAAGCATTTGAGATGGACAGCCTCCTCCTGAAAGTCACACAGAGGAGCACAACTAGTAGGATCACACCTGGCATCTCACAGCACTCGCCCAACAGTAGGAACCTGGGGACTGTCCTTACTGCCAGGCTCAAGGATAAGCACCTGCTTTCTCTAGTGGCTGTGCCGTTGAGTCTTTACTCATGCTTTGAATACAGGATTTGTTCATGACTTCAGACTGTGTGTGTTTCTGCTCCCCACTGTTATGCAGAACTGCTTAATTGTTACACCACTGAGCTGTGGGGCTGTAACCTACACTTCATTCCAGGAGGATTCCCAAGCAAGGCAGATCCTGGCTGGTCACACCTCAAGGCCTGAGTGTGCAGCTCCTGCCCCCCAAAGGGCCGTGCAATAAAAATTGCTGCTACAAATGCTTTCTGCCTTTCCCATCACAAACCTATTCACACCCGTTCTGGATTAGGAGAGCTGCTGCCTTCAGTATCGTTAACTTGTAGCCACTTGTGTTCAGAGGTAAGATTTGTCATTGCACACATTAACAACTCCTACCCAAGACTGGACAACCAAGCCAACATGGGATTGGATTCTTCTGAAAACAAGAAATAAAAGGTGAAGTCAGGGAAAAATGTTAACAGCTCTGACACCCATGTTCATGTTTCAAGTGAACTTCATGAGTCTGTGGTAGTGATTACTACTTGTGCCATGCTTTTTATGTGTTCATTATTCATTTGTTCCAACATGTGTAGAAAGCAAAATAAAACGTAAAAAATTTGCTAAAAAGGAGCATTGTAGCAACTCTCTTGCCTGAGAAGTATTATAGCTGGACTGTTTGAGCTAAGGATGCTGTAATTGGTGTATAAAAACTGTTGACCTTCAGCAGAAGAGACAACTGCTTTCAAGTTGTTTTCTTATCCCTGAACATAGTGATAACGGTTACAATACTGTGTTGCATCCAGGAAGGACTTTTTGAAGTCTGTGCTACAAAAGAGATGCTTCTCAGTACAGGTCAGTTACTTTGCCAGGGAAGGAGTTCTGTTACAACCAAGCACATGTCAGGGTCTGACCACAGGCCTCTTCTGTACGAGCAGCACAACGCTGGGTTGCAAAGAGACGAATTCTAGAAGTGGTATCTGGTATTTAGGTTGTGCCTTTCCTTTCAGTTATTCCCACTACCAGCATGCTGGCAACTCACCTTGCGAGCATCGAGACCTCTGTAGTCAAGGTCCAAAGAGGTTTTGGCTGTGTTACTAGGGGCACTGCCTCACTTTAAGGTAGTGAAAACTCATCCTCTTCCCCACACTGCAAGTGTTACTCCACCTTATAATGCAGGCAGTTCTGAGAGTCAGGTTACAAAAAACATGGAGCTCTTTTACTTTTACGGACTAAATATATTGACAACTTTTATACAAATAAAAGCAAATTATAGTATTACATTAATTTAACAAATTCTAATACAAAACCCGGGTATTTAATAAAATGCAAGTTTTAAATCAAAGCTCTACAGAAACATCTAACTCGTCTATAAAGATGTCCAGTCCGCTGAGCATTGTTTGCCCAAATAATAGTTATGAACTTAAATACACTCATAAGTGTATTACACTGAGCTATACATTTGGATAAACATTACTGAAATCAGAAATGAAGGAAACCTACTCACTACCAGAAGGAGCTGCACAGCTCAAGCGAGAGTTCAGCCCAGCCCGCAGCCGGAGCGGCTCTGCCTTGCTGATGGCTGACCACACCTGCCACACGTGCAGCTGTCACGTCAACGCTTTAAGTGATACCAGTCAGCAACGTCAAAGAGAAAGGAACATAACTGTTGGCAGTAAGAAATTAAGTCACAAGCCACATCCAGATCACAGGCAATGCCTTGCCTACACCACTTACAGACTAAAAATTTCCTTTAATAAAACTGATTTATCAAATGTTCAAAATGAATTGTTGCCTATTGCTCTACTTCACCAAGTTTACTCCATTTGGGTTTTTAAATATTATGAACTGACAGAACTAGCTGAATTAAAGGTATACAAAATGATTATCTATCAAACATCCATTTTGTACATAAACATTTCCAAAACAGATTTACAGTATACAGTTAGTTTATACAGCTTAAGCAACTGTTACAATGTCATTTCTCTCAAACTGAAAGCAGCCAAAAGGTCTAAGGTTTTGTGAAAAGGTAATCTTGGTCACCATTCAAATTTTACCTTTCTTGTCTCACCTTATTCACACCCATGTCATAACATCGCTGGGTTCATTTTATAAACTGTACATTATTCCATCTCACTGTATGCTGCCAAGCCGGTTAATGTGCAAGAAAAGCTCATTAACTATGTGTTTTTAAATACAATGTATCTACATTTTCCCCCAGAATGCTTTCGCTTCCTGAGCTAGACATAAAGTACCTTAAAACAGGTTTAGATGCAGATCTGAGACCCCATAAGCAAACTACATTAAAATGCATACAGAGGGGGAAAAAAACCCCACACTGCTTTTGGTAGCTCACACTACTGTTTGAATAAGGTAGCAAACTTACTATTTTAGTTGTCTAAACTGTTATGACTCTGTATTGCTCTTGCCTTTAAATTTTTATATAACTGTGTATATTTCACCCTAAACACTTACAAACTTCATCTTGTCATCTAGGTGACTGGGTTAGAAATGCTACAGTCTGCAACAAAAGCATGCAATTTTGGTGGAGTTTTGTTTTTTTTAAGATCAAATCTGGTTTCATTCAATATTACTATCTAA